AATTTTGTAATGGTATTAAATATTAAATATTAAATATTATTCATAAAAGTATAAACAAAAAGTATAAAAATGAGACTTTTAACTTTATATAAAAAAATCAAAACAATTAAAATAAAACTATTAAAAAATGAAATATTTAATTTAAAAATCTATCATCTATTTTTTTTTCAAAAAAATCTATCATCCATGGAATGATGTCTTCTTTAGTGTAAACAACTAACATATATAAATAATTTATTAATTATTTTCATTTGCATTTTGTCTATTTTTAACTTATTTTGATAATTTGATTTGAGGTGAAGAAGTTAATTATAAGTAGAGATTGATATGCTAATGATTTATATCTATAAGCTCATTTGTATATTTTTTTTATTTCTTCTTATACCTCAAAGAGAACATAACATAAGGTAATAAATATTAGGGTAAACTATATGAATAATCACTCACCTTTATCATCACTTTCAATTTAGTCACTCTCCTTTCAAATTTGTAAACCTAGTCGCTCATCTTTAGTTTAATTTCCATTCATTCATCACTTTTGTTAAGTCATGCCCGCGTTCGTCAATTCTATTATGTTTTATGCTAATGTGGCACTATTTATGTTGACATAGCACCAGAGTGGCCAACTTGACTTACATGGCGCCTATATGTAAAATAATATATTTTTTATTGTTAAAAATTTTTTAGGCAACAAAAATAAAAATTGCAAACCTTAAATGGCAAAATAAGTGGCAGGTTGCGAGAATCTTCTTTTTGGGAAACCCTATTATTTGCCTCCTACCTTCTACAACCGTTTCTTTCATAATTTGAGAATTTGCAGTGACAACTCTAAATCTTCTCTACAAGTTCTGTTAAGTATTGGAATAAAAAAAAATTCAAGATGCATATTAAAAGGATGATTCGATAAAAGTGGGAATTCAACCCAAATACAATAAGTTTTTATAGTTTTGTTTGTCACTAGTTTATTCTTTTTTATCTTTTGTCTATACAATTTATATGATCAATTAGTGGGATTAAATGCTCCTGCTTGTGTTTTGGGCCACGCGTCTTTATTCTATGTGTGGGGACCTTTTGTTTAAATTTGCAACACTGTTTGTGTGGGTCATGAAAGCTTTGACGACTATTGCTCTATATATTTCATGATGTTTAAATATTTTATTTTATAATCTATACTTAGAAGGCCTCCAAGAAGACCTAAGAAGGCAAAGAGGAAAGCTGTTGATGAAGAGAAGCCTAATGGTGGTGGAAAAATGCGTAAGCTGGATATCCAAATGGGGTGCACTAAATGTGGAGATGTTTGACACAGTAAAAGGACATGCAAAGGAGTTGTTGGAGGCAATAAGGAACTTAATCTTCATTAAGCTGCACTTCATTATATGCAACAAAATGCAAATTTAGTAAGCTGACTAGGTTTACAAAATTTCAAAGGAGAGTGACTAAATCGAAAGTTGTAATAAAGGTGAGTGACTATTTCGTGTGGTTTACCCTATATATTACCTGCAGATTTAGAGGAAAGAATTGAAAAAATTGGAGACTTATAATAACCAAACTGGATGGGCGAAAGGAAATCGGTAAGGACGAGCAAATCCGCTGAATTGTAATTTGTTAATAATAATTAAATAGTATATCATCAAAAGTGACTGTTTAAAACGATTCATAATGTTCCTTTTTTTACAGTGTTATGGTGATAAAAGTAAAATGTTAAGCACATTAAAAAATATAAAATATTATCTTTAAAAATAATAATTTAATTTAATTAATAAAAATAATAAATAATTATTAATTAATAATTATTAATTATTTTAATAATTATTAATTAATAATTAATAAATTAAAATTAATTAATAAATTAATATTTTCAAATACTATTTGTAAAAATAAAGACAAATGACTTTCACATTTCTGATGGTGGCAATAATCATGATCTGTTTCCTCCAATAATTTTGAAAAACTGCTCTAATTTTTATTACTCTACTTAATTTAAAATAATAAATTATATTTTTTGAGTTTTTAACATTTTGTAAAAGCGGATTAATGACCCAAAAAGAAAAAAGGGAAAAGCTCAGAGTAATTACAGAGTATAGACACGTATAAATGTCATCGGATATCCAAAAAGGAGGTTTAGATAGATCACGATGATTTTTACACCTACTCAACATATACGCATTCATAATCTCATTCCTATGTGTTATGGAGTCATGGTAAGAGCCGATGAAAACACAATCAGCAAAATCTCTAGGGTCAAACCTTTGTTTCCTATAAAGAGTTTTTTCCTTTTGTTCACCATAAACAGATATATGAACCATCTTTTTGATATTCTGACAATTGTGTATTTGTTCAAAACTGTAATGGTTGATCTTTAGTATTTGTAAGATGTTGCGAACTGTCTCCATGATAGCAAGACAAGATCCAATTCTCCAGAATGATGCTTGTTGGATTAGATAGGTCTCATTGAAGCAGTTCTCATTACCGCATGGCTTCCATTCTCCCCCTTTGATGCATGTTGCAATAGTAGTTATGTCATTCCAGAAATAGGACAAAACCAATCCTACATAAGGAAAAATAATACTTTTACCATTCATAACATATATCAATAGAGACATTGATCGATAACTATAAATAACATCAAGTGTACAATTGCATGTATTTAGTCAATAAATATACTCTACCAAAATGTAAGGCCAAAATAACCACAACAAAAAGTAAAAAGGCAAAAAGCTTGCATACCTAAGAATGATGAAAGGGCAATAAACATCAACTTTTTTCAATAAATCAACATATCATTTGTCATATCATTATGAACAACTGGGGCACATGGTGGCCAATCTGCAAAACAAAAAATCACAAGGCAAGTCCTAGATTGTCGTGGCATGAATGAAAGGCTAGTAGACCATAAAAGGAAATAGAAACTGGCCACTAAGTGGAAACTTACATAACATAAAATGCAAGTTACATCTTGCTAAATCCTCTTCTTTCCTGCTTCACTTTCTGTGCTGTATATCCCAAAAGAAACAAATAGTGAAGCTTGTAAAAGTCTTCATGTTTTCACAAGTTCAATCTTCTTCATATACCTCCTATTGCTGGTTAAGTTCAATTGCCATGGCCAATCTCCTTTTCCTTTTGCTATTCCTAAGATAATTTGAACAAATGTAAATCAGAAAACCATAATCACTGCTAAATTTCATAAAACAAGTGGGAGGTGGTATGGATGGAGATGGACTTAAGCAAAAACATTTAACCTTAGAACTGATAGCTCCCTATATCATTGAAAAAGAAAAAGCTTGCAAATTTGAAAGAAAAGAGGATTAACTCCTTCTACTTCATCAAAGAGGATTTATAACAACTTGATAACTCCCTATATTATCATAGTCTTCATAATTTGAGAATTTGGGATATTTCTTAATAGAAAACAACAACTGAAACATACCACAGGTGTGTTGGCAGCATAGAGGATTGATGCTGGATTTTAACCAATTTGCCAAGGTTTCTCAATTCACGAGTAGTTGTCACATTAGATTCTTGAACAATCCCAGGAATTCCGTAACTGATAGAAAAACACAAAACAAAAAGAAAAAGAAACTTAGGAAGAAATTATAACTTAGATTAACTTGTTGGATTCCAAAATGTTATCTTCAAATAGAAATTCTGCTCTAGGAGCACAAAAACCAGAATAATTTGGATGGAATAGAAAGCCTTAGATCAAAAACCAAAAACTTACATAACATTGATCTGAAGTTTGTTACACTTGTACATCCACCAGACATAGCTTCACACACTAACACATCAAACTCCTTCCTTCCTCCTGCCATGTTTGGCTATGGCAGCAAGGTTCAGAAAATCTCAAAGAATTTGGATGGAATAGAAAGCATTAGATTGAAAATTGGAAATTTACATAGCATTGATTAAGGCTTGTTATGCTTGTGCATCCATCAGAGATAGCTCTCAAACAGCAACACATCAACTCCTTCCTAGCTCTTGCCATGTTTGGCTATGGCAGCAAGGTTTACCAGTTATCTCAGGACAGTATGATATGTTGCATGGTAGGAATCAGACTTATGAAGGGAGCCTAGTAGCACTGACTTGATGCATTGTACTCTTAAAACACATTTGGATTTGGATTTAGGGAGGGGGTTCAGAAGTTTAGATTGGGGCTAATCCACCATACAAAGTAAAAGTAATAACTGAACAAAAGAAAATTGTTCATAATGAGATGCCATTTTTAAGGAAAATCTAACCTGTGAGTTTAAGTCTCCACTAAGAAGCTTTATATTATATGGTAATTGGGAAGACTGCTCATCAACCAACAAGAAAAGTATAGACCATTTCCAGCTCATTGCCATATTTTCCAAGCAAGCTCCACAAGTAACCTAAACAATTGGTAAATCATGACACCAAAAAGAAGCGACTCAGCTACTTATAGGAAGCCAGAAAATGAAGTCAATTTTTGTCAGAAACTTTCTCTTGTACAGAACTTTAAGCTTAATAACCAAGATATGTACTGTTACCGAAAAAGATAAAATCAAAATAAATTTTCCAGCCCACTGCCATATTTTTCAAACAAACTTTTCCAGTAACCTAAACAAATAACAATCATGGGTATGTGTCTCCATGCTTTGACTTGCATATGTGAACTTTAATTGCACTCCTGGAAAGGAAAAATTCACCTGTTTGCACAATTCATGATCATGACACCAAAAAGTTTTGTAGGAGACTTGGAAATGATTCCAATTTTTAGTAGGAACTTCCTTTCGTACAAAGCTTTTAGATTAAGAACCCAAAAAGCATACCCAGAAACCTAAAAACTTCCCCTCCTTTAGGCCTTATTGGAGCTAATTTACCCAGCAATTAAAGGGGGCTCATTTTCAACCAGGCTTACCCCATAACCAAATTATAAAAAGAACAAAATATAAAACAAAAAAATTCAATAAAACCCTCATGATACATAGAAATTAAGAAGCAAAAGAAAATGAAGAGAGTGAAATGGAATAGTCAAGTCAAAATACCTAGTGTTTGGATCTCTGACACTTTCTTTGAGGTTTGATTCTTCAGCTCAGCACATAATTTTTTAGCCAGTCTTTCAACCATTAAGGGTGGCTTGTGATTTATTCGGAAAGTTGATGATTTCTCTGGAACTACAGAAATTGTTTCTTTCAACAACTAAAATAACACAAGATGCAAATGATAGAAAAAAAAAAAAAAGACGTCTAGATAAGGTTAAATAATAATATTAATGTTCGTCCAGCCACATATATTAAACAATCTTATCACTCACATTTTTTTATCTTGTTAGAAGAGAAAAGTGAAATATGAATATATACACAAATACTAAATAAAGTTACAATCAAATCAAAATAAAGATAGTGAAATCTAAACACTTGATGGTTGGAGTTTTTGTCTTCCAAAATATACCCACTTAAGGTTTCCATCTTAGAAACATTGATCTCTTTCTCTTCTAGAATACCCAATTGTTTTTGTTGGCGAGGGAATGAATGAACCGCGAAATTGCTTTTATTAGCATGTGTTATTAAGGTGGCATATGACTTTAATTTCTGGAAAGTTACAATTTGTCTACTCAACATCTCCTTAAACATTTTGCAGTTTACAACTCTTCATTTCACATTACACAAATTATTTCCCAAATTTTCAATAGCTTATTGTAACATATTATCAAATCAAATTCAAATTAGAATTAAATAGTAGTAAATCAATCAACACCTCAATCCCACGGATATGCAAAATATTTCAAGAAAGGGTTAAGGAGGTTCTTAGCATTGAGATGATCCCACTCCACTGATTCCCACCATTCTTTTGAGTCTTCATCTATCTTGATTTCTTTGAGACGAAGAGGAGATGGTTGGCCATTATCAAGTAGGAGAAACTGCACAGGGATCCTCTTTAACTCCCGACATCTCCATATTCTAATTTCTTCAATTGAATCACAAACCATAACTCCTTTGGCATTGCAAATGCTTTTCAGTTGAGGTAAAAACAACAGGGACAATACCTTTAACTTGGGAAAAGTGAATTTATCCGATGATGCATCTGAATCTGATGATGCTATTATCTCCTCCATTTGGTAGCAGCTTTCAACATGAATCTCCTCTAAGTTTTGGAAGGCCTGTTGTAGCTTAAGTGGAAGCAATTTCCTTATTCCAAGACAATGTTGTATTATAAGTTTTTTAAGATTGGAAAAGATGTGTGGTGGTGTTGCTGCCTCTTCCACTCTCACAAGTTCACATAACTTAGGCAATCCCCAAAGTTGCAGCAGCTCAAGCTTATCAAGTATTGGACAACACAATGAGGAGGAGGAGGAGGATGAGTCCAACTCAACCACGCACTCTATCTCTTCACTATAAAAAATATGGCATCGTCTCAACTCATTTGCTTCCATTTCTAACATAACTGTTCTATTTAAGTTGCTTCTCATGTTTCTACCCCCAATTATCCACAAATCCTCAAGGTTATCTGGAAGCACTACACATTCTTCCCCGATCTCGCATTCATTAATTACAAGCTCATATTTGCTCCATCTCATCATGTCTTTTCCTGTCCCAACTCCAAGACTGTAACCAATAGCATCTTGGAAATCTTTGAACTTGTTGACAAAATGATTAAAATCTTGTATGCTGTCAAATTGACATTCTAAAGTCTCCAACTTCTTGAATCTAGCAATCTCTTCTAAATTTCTTATTATTGTAGTTTCTAAACAACATACTCCCAAGTACTGGAGACTAGAAAGGTTAGGTAATATTCCTGTTGGAATCTCTTTAAGATTTTGACAAAATAACAAATCAAGATATTCAATACTTATCAACATCCCCATGCCTTGAGGGACTACCTCAATCCCTGCCTCGTGTAGGTCCAACTTCTTCAATCCCCTGAGGTTTGCCAAGGAAGGCAAGTACTTTAACTTCATGCAATGCTGTAATCGCAGGGCAGATAGATTCTCCAATTTAGAGATGGAATTAGGTAGAGTCTCAATAGCAGTGTTAGAGAGATCAAGAACCTTCAAAGCAAGCATCTCTCTAAAAAAAGATTCTGGAATCTCTGACAAATTAGGATTACTTGATAATATCAAAGTCGAAAGGCTCAAACACTTTGGGGGTAGACTAAGGGGAACTTTTAAAATGTTATTTCCCATTAGAGACAACTTCTTAGGATCTTTTACCCAACCATGCTCATCTGGTAGCTCTACCAAATTCATTTCAGCTTTTATCATATATCCAAATTCAGGACCAATGCTTGTAATAGCCATATCTCTCACTACATCATGCATCTTAGCACTAGCCATACGAAATGAATATCTACCAAATTGACCTGAGTACAATGTTGCCTTCTCTAATAAGAAATTCTTTTCAAGCCTATCTATAATAGCATGGCCCCTACTATAAGTTACTTCTCTACTTGGCAACCCATCAATTAGTCCTTCATCAATCCAACATTCTATCAAGTCCCTTCTAGAAAACACATAATCCTCTCAAAAGAAGGAGCAATAAAGAAAACAATTCTTGACTTGCAAATTGTCCAATCGATCAAAACTAAATCTTAACCGCTTAAATATCTCATCATTTGAATCTCTCACACTACTTACATGATCTTGTAATTCATTCAGTGCATTTCTCCACACATTAACATCATCAATTCCCCTCATGCTCCCAGCTATCACAACAATGGCCAATGGTAAGCCAGCACACTCTTCCACAATAAGCTTTAAGATATCTTCCAACCCTGGAACTTGTAAAACACCATCCCCAACCGTATTGAGGAACAACTTTAGAGACTCCTCTTGTGAAAGAGGTTCACTTTAACAATCTTACAACGCAAATAATTGCATACTTCACTTGATCTACTAGTGACAACTACTTTGCACCCATTCTGCACATTTGGATCCGGAATTCCAACTTCCTTAAGAGAGAACTTTTGCCATACATCATCTAATATTACCACATACCTCACTCTTCTCATTATTTCCGTTAGTGCTGCTGCTCGCATCATCACCTCTTCATCGTCTCGAAGTCTTTGGCCCATAGCATCAGCCATCTTCTTTTGTAATTCAAAAACATTGAGAGGATGTGATATAGTAACCCATATCACTTTCTCAAATCTAGTCTCCCTTTGTAAATCATTATGGAGATTCTTCATGATCGTAGTCTTTCCAACTCCACCAATCCCACAAACTCCGATCATTCCAACCTCATCACCCATCAAGTACCTCCAAATTTCTTCTTTAGTAGAAATTTCCCCCACTAAATTCTCTGTTGGAATTATGTTTCCATGAGCTGGAGCCCTCTCAATAACAAGGCCTTCAGGAAAACTACCTTTATCAAGCATTTCCTTCACCATATTAATTTTTCCACAAACAAGTCTGTCAAGACAAGCACGCTTGTACCACTTGACTCCCTGCATCTTTTCCAAAAATGCCCGCACTTTAACATTGATCTCTTCTGCTTGCTTAAGCCATTCTTGCACTTGTTGTCTAACCATTTGTCCCCTGCGAGCCTCTGCTTCTTGTATTCTTGATTCTATATCTTGTTTCTGGCTAGTTAGACTGTCCAATTTTCTTCTCAGCTCATCCACATCATCATTAAAATTTCTATGTTGATCTATACAGTTGCAGGTTGGAATACCACAAATGCAACTCAATGCATTGAAGATTGTTCCTACGATTTCCACCGCCATTAAAAAAGGGCCCTGAAACATAATAAATAATGTGAATAAAAATATACTTCTTCTAGTGTTCGTCAACAAAAAATTCGAAAGCATAAATAAACAAATAAAAAAAAAGTTAAATTAAATTACCAATTCCTTCTCATCAAAGTAAATTACCAATTCCAACCATATATAGGAGTTATAAAACCATACATTACCGAAGGAAATGGGAAACAAACAACTATATATATCATGTAAATGAATAAGCTAGTTGAAACACTAATTTTATGCCTTTCGCCTCCTTGTTTGGCGGTAGATATATTCATCCAATTAAATAAATATGCTAATGGCTTAAGTAATGAACAAGGTTTCAAACTATCACTAAATTCATAATTGTCTCAAAATTTTATTTTCTCAAATAAAGCACCAAAATAATTGAAATTTCAAATAAAGTCACAATTAGACAAAAATTGTTAGGTCTAACATTGTTAACACTAAGTTGCTATTGACTAAATATCCATTTAGAGTTGTTAATAATTGAAAAGTTCAGTTGATTATACTTGTGCTGTCAAAAGGAGGTTTAGATAGATCACAATGATTTTTACAACTGCTCAACATATATGCATTCATAATCTCATTCCCATGTGTTACGGAGTCATGGTAAGAGCCGATGATAAAAGGAAATAGAAACTGGCCACTAAGTGGAAACTTACATAACATAAAATGCAAGTTACATCTTGCTAAATCCTCTTCTTTCCTGCTTCACTTTCTGTGCTGTATATCCCAAAAGAAACAGAGAGTGAAGCTTGTAAAAGTCTTCATGTTTTCACAAGTTCAATCTTCTTCATATACCTCCTAGTGCTGGTTAAGTTCAATTGCCATGGCCAATCTCCTTCTTTTCCCACTGCTATTCCTAAGACAATTTGAACAAATGTAAATTAGAAAACCATAATCACTTATAAATTTCATAAGACAAGTGGGAGGTGGTATGGATGGAGATGGACTTAAGCAAAAACACGAACCTTAAAACTGATAGCTCCCTACATCATTGAAAAAAAAAAAGCTTATAAATTTGAAAGAAAAGAGGATTAACTCCTTCTACTTCATCAAGAGGATTTATAACAATTTGATAGCTCCCTATATTATCATAGTCTTTATAATTTGAGAATTTGGGATATTTCTTAGTAGAAAACAACAAGTGAAACATATCGCAGGTGTGTTGGGCACATAGAGGATTGATGTTGGATTCTAACCAATTTGCCAAGGTTTCTCAATTCATAAGTAGTTGTCACATTAGATTCTTGAACAATCCCAGGAATTCCATAACTGATAGAAAAACACAAAACAAAAAAGAAAAAGAAACTTAGGAAGAAAATAGAACTTAGATTAACCAGTTGGATTCTAGAATGTTATCTTCAAATAGAAATTTTGCTCTAGGAGCACAAAAACCAGAAGAATTTGGATGGAATAGAAAGCCTTAGATAAAAAACCAGAAACTTACATAACATTGATCTGAAGTTTCTTACACTTGCACATCCACCAAACATAGCTTCACACACCAACATATCAAACTCCTTCCTTCCTCCTGCCATGTTTGGCTATGGCAGCAAGGTTTAGAAAATCTAGAAGAATTTGGATGGATTAGAAAGCATTAGATTGAAAATTGGAAACTTACATAGCATTGATTGAGGCTTGTTACGCTTGTGCATCCATCAGAGATAGCTCTCAAACACCAACACATCAACTCCTTCCTAGCTCTTGCCATGTTTGGCTATGGCAACAAGGTTCACCAGTCATCTCAGGACAGTATGATATGTTGAATGGTATGAATCAGACTCATGAAGGGAGCCCAGTAGCACTCAATTGATGCATTGTACTCCTGAAACACATTTGTATTTGGATTTAGGGAGGGGGTTTAGAAGTTTAGATTGGGGCTAATCCATCATACAAAGTAAAAGTAATAAATAAACAGAAGAAAATTGTACATAATGAGATGCCATTTTTAAGGAAAATCTAACCTGTGAGTTTAAGACTTCACTGAGAAGCTTTATATGGTAACTTGTAGGATTGCTAATCAACCAGCAAGACCATATTTTTCAAACAAACTCTTCAAGTAGCCTAAATAGATAACAATCATGAGTATGTGTCTCCACGCTTTGACTTGCATATGTGAACTTTAACTGCACTCTCATAAAGGAAAAATTCACCTCTTTGCACAATTCATGATCATGACACCAAAAAGATTTGTAGGAAACCTGAAAATGATACCAATTTTTGTCAAAAACTTTCTCTCGTACAAAGCTTTTAGATTAAGAACCCAAAAGGCATACCTAGAAACCTAAAAACTTCCTCTCCTTGAGGCCTTACTGCATCTAGTTTACTCGGCAATAACAGGGGGCACATTTTCAGCCAGCATACCCCGAAACCAAATTGTCTAGATAAAGTTAAATAAAAATATATAAAAAAATCAAATAAAAAAAGAAATAATATTAATGTTCCTCCAACCACATATATTAAACAATCTTATCACCCACAATTTTTTATCTTGTTAGATGAGAAAAGTTGAATATGAATCTAAACACAAAAACTAAATAAAGTTACAATCAAATCAAAATAGAGATAGTGAAATTTATACACTTACTGGTTGGAGTTTGTGAGGGAGCAAAAGTTGCATATCTTTGTATTCCAGAATATACCCATTTAGGGTTTCCATCTCAGAAACATTGATCTCGTTCTCTTCTAGAATACCCCAATTGTTTTTGTTGGGGAGGGAAGGAACGAACTGCAAAATTGCTTTTATTGGCACGTGTTATTGAGGTGGCATGTGACTTTAATTTTTGGAAAGTTATGATTTGTCTAATCAACAACTCCCTTTGCATTTGCAGTTTGCAGTTTGCAGCTCTTCATTTCACACTGCACTAATTATTTCCCAAATTTTCAACAACTTACTGTAATATATTATCAAATCAAATTCAAATTAGAATTAAATAGTAGTAAATCAATCGACAACACCTTACCCTCAAACTCATGGATATGTAGAATGTTTCAAGAAAGGTTTAAGGAGGTTCTTAGCATTGGGATGATCCCACTCCATTGATTCCCACCATTCTTTTGACTCTTCATCTATCCTCATTTCTCTGAGATGAGGAGGAGGAGATGCTTGGCCATTATTAAGCAGGGGAAGCGGCACAGGGATCCTCTTTAACTCCCGACATTCAAATATTACAATTACTTCAATAGAATCACAAACCACAACTCTTTTGGCACTACAAATGCTATTCAATTAGGGTAAATAAACCAACAGCAATATTCTTAACTTGGGAAAAGTGAATTTATTTGATGATGCATCTGAATCTGATGATACTATTATCTCCTCCATTTGTTTGCAATTCCAAACTCTAATCTCCTCTAAGTTTTGGAGGGCCTGTTGTAGCTCAAGTGGAAGCAATTTCCTCATTCCTGAACAGTAGTCTATTATAAGTGTTTTAAGAAGTAAATAAACAAAAGAAAGAAAGGATAAAATCAGTGAACAGTCCTTAGAAGAAATTAAGTATCAGAATCACTCCAGTAATGTGAATTCCAGATTGTAATTATTAAGATTGGTTTATAATATATTAAACGCATGTAAGAATTAATCAGTTTAGGCAATGATGCTCTACTTCTACCGCTTATGGTTTAAGGAAATGAATTATTGGAACTCAAAATTGAATTCTAACGTCTTCTAGTGCACAACTGGATTTCGACTTTATAGAATCCCAAACCCATATATTTGGTAATGAACCTACACCTCCTATGTTAATATGCAAATATCAGATAAAGGTAAAAACTGAACTTAGAAAAATTGTTCAGAATGAGACCAAGCAATATAAGATAAAAGAAACTACAAAGCATGTTATATTATTATGGAAGCAGGTGAATCATAATATTAATTGTGAAGCTTAATTTAGGATCGAAATGCAGAAACAGATAGAAAATGAACACAGCGAAATTAATACTCACTACTTGGAGTTTATGACACCAAATCCCGTGCAAAAATCCGAAATGATACAACTTAGGAGCACTTGGAGTTCATCGGAGACAGGAGCCTGGGACTCTTCCTGCCAATTGCCAACCCATTGTGCCAAAATTGGCATTTTGCAATACTGAAATTGAAATCCTGCATGTTTTTCATTTCAATGATTTTACTTCCAACTCAGACAGAAAAGAAAAAGGTAAATTTAAATATTCTAATTACTGATTATCACAAATTAAACAACTCAATAAATTTATTAGAACCAACTACGGAATTCTCTAAAAAACATAACAATACCCCCCGAAGGAACCCATTTAAGAAAATAAGAAACCCCTAAAGAAACAAAGACCAGTCACCAAAAATCCTAGCAGACACAAATCATTTCAGAAAATCTGCAGTAGATTTTGGAATTACCTAAATGGAACAAGAAATTTGAAAGGAGTTAAAAGAGTTAAAATAATAATAATTCATACATAAATAAAAGAGATTTGATTCCATATATAGTACCTAGATTGGCGAGAATCTCAGATGAAATTGGGGAAGCAGAGGTTGGACTCAACTCAATTGGATCTCTTCCATTCGGTTTCAGAATCAGAATAACACTGGACTGAGGAGAAAATCAGAAACAGAAGGGTTTTACTGGCACGTGCTACTCGGGGCCACACGTGACTTACTTGGACGTGTCAAATACACACACAAAGGATTTGTGGCCACTCATCCTGGCCGTCCGTTAGGGCCGTTACCATAGAAATTTAAGTTGACGATTTCTTGTCTTGGATCGTGATCGTTTATTGCCTTCAAATCAACAGAAATTGTTTCCTTCCATCTGGATTGCAAATGATACATGAGGAATTGGAAAATAGATAAAATAAATAAATAAAATCAACATTCTTAAAGTTAGAAATTGAATACTTAATCAATCAACACCTTACCCCTCAATCAGAATATTTCAAGAAAGGTTGAAGTAGGTTCTTATGATCCCACTCCACTGATTCCCACCATCCTTTTGCGTCTCTATCCATCTCGATTTCTCTGAGATGAGGAGGAGGAGTTGGTTGGCCATTATCAAGCAGTGGAAGCTGCACAGGGATCCTCTTTTAACTCTCTACATCTTGATATTGCAATTTCTTCAATAGAATCACAAACCATAACTCCTTTGGCACTGCAGATGCTCTTCAATTGGGGTAAATACGTCAAGGACAATCTCCTTAACTTGGGAAAAGTGAATTTATCTGATGATGCATCTGAATCTGGTGATGTTATTATCTCCTCCATTTGTGTGCACACATTGACATAAATCTCCTCTAAGTTTTGGAAGGCTTGCTGTAGCTCAAGTGGAAGCAATTTCCTCATTCTTGAACAATGGGATATTTTAAGTGTTTTAAGATTGGAAAAGATGTGTGGTGGTGTTGCTGCTCCTTCCACTCTCACAAGTTCACATAACTTAGGCAAAAACCAAAGGTCCAGCAGTTCAAGCTTATCAAGTACTGGACAATACAATGAGGAGGAGGAGGATGAGTCCAACTCAACCACGCACTCTATCTCTTTACCTTCCCAAATATGGCACCTTCTCAACTCATTTGCATTTTCTAACAAAACTGTTTTGTTTAAGCTACTTCGCATATATCTACCCTCAATTATCCACAAATCCTCAAGGTTATTTGGAAGCACTACACATTCTTCCCCGATCTCGCATTCAGTAATTACAAGCTCATATTTGCTCAGTCTAATCATGTCTCTCACTGTCCCAACTCCAAGACTGTAAGCAATAGCACTTTGGAAATCTTTGAACTTGTTGAAAAAATGATTAAAGTCTTGTATGCCATCAAATTGACATTCTAAAGTCTCCAACTTCTTCAATCTAGCAACCTCTTCTAAATTTCTTATTATTGTAGTTTCTCGCAAACAACATACTGCCAAGTACTGGAGACAAGAAAGGTTAGGTATTATTCCTGTTGGAATCTCTTTCAAATTTTGACAAAATAATAAATCAAGATATTCAAGACTTATCAACATCCCCATGCCTTGAGGGACCACCTCAATCCCTGCCTCGTGTAGGTCCAACTTCTTCAATCCCCTGAGGTTTGCTAAGGAAGGCAAGTACTTTAACTTCTTGCAATGCTGTAACCGCAGGCGGATAGATTCTCCAATTTAGAGATGGAATTAGGTAGAGTCTCAATAGCAGTGCGAGAGAGATCAAGAACCTTCAAAGCAAGCATCTCTCCAAAAAAGGATTCAGGAATCTCTGACAAATTAGGATTACTTGATAGTATCAAAGTCGAAAGGCTCACACACTTTGGGGGCAGACTAAGAGGAACTTTTGAAATGTTATTTTCCATTAGAGACAACTTCTTAGTATCTTTTACCCAACCATGCTCATCTGGTAGCTCTACCAAATTCATACCAGCTTTTATCATATATCCAAATTCAGGACCAATGCCTATGATAGCCATGTCTCTCACTACATCATGCATCTTAGCACCATAACTACCAAATGAATATCCACCTAGGCTTATAGATGATCGAAAAGTGTCTTTCTCTAATAAGAAATTCTTTTCGAGCCTATCTATAATAGCATGGCCCCTATTACAAGCTGCTTCTCTCCTTGGCAACCCACAAATCAGTCCTTCATCAATCCAACATTCTATCAACTCCCTTTTCGAAAACACATAATCCTCCCGAAAGAGGGAGCAATAAAGAAAACAACTCTTGACTTGCAAACTATCCAACCGATCAAAACTAAATCTTAACTGCTTAAATATCTCATCATTTGAATCTTTCACACTACTTACACGAACTTGTAATTCAGTCAATGCATTTCTCCACACATTAACATCATCAACTCCCCTCATGCTCCCAGCTATCACAACAATGGCCAGTGGTAAGCCGGCACACTCTTCCACAATAAGCTTTAAGATTTCTTCCAACCCTGGAACTTGTAAAACACCATCCCCAACTGTATCGAGGAATAACTTTAGAGACTCCTCCTGTGAAAGAGGTTTCACTTTAACAATCTTACAACACATATAACTGCATACTTCAATTGATCTACTAGTGACAACTATTTTGCACCCATTTTGCACATTCGGATCCGGAATTCCAACTTCCTTAAGAGAGAACTTCTGCCATACATCATCTAATATCACCACATACCTCACTCTTCTCATTATTTCCATTAGTGCTGCTGCTTGCATCATCACCTCTTCATCGTCTCGAAGTCTTTGGCCCACAGCCTAAGCAATCTTCTTTTGTAATTCAAAAACATTGAGAGGATGTGATACAGTAACCCAGATCACTTTCTCAAATCTAATCTCCCTTTGTAAATCATTGTGGAGATTCTTCATGATCGTAGTCTTTCCAACTCCACCAATCCCACAAACTCCAATCATTCCAACCTCATCACCCATCAAGTACCTCCAAATTTCTTCTTTAGTAGAAATTTCCCCCACTAAATTCTCTGTTGGAATTATGTTTCCATGAGCTGGAGCCCTCTCAATAACAAGGCCTTCAGGAAAACTACCTTTATCAAGCATTTCCTGCACCATATTAATTTTTCCACAAACAAGTCTGTCAAGACAAGCACGCTTGTACCACTTGACTCCCTGCATCTTTTCCAAAAATGCTCGCACTTTAACATTGATCTCTTCTGCTTGCTTAAGCCATTCTTGCACTTGTTGTCTAACCATTTGTCCCCTGCGAGCCTCTACTTCTTGTATTCTTGATTCTATATCTTGTTTCTGGCTAGTTAGACTGTCCAATTTTCTTCTCAGCTCATCCACATCATCATTAAAATTTCTATGTTGATCTATACAGTTGCAGGTTGGAGTAACACAAATGCAACTCAATGCACTGAAGATTGTTCTTACTATTTCCACCGCCATTAAAAAAGGTCCTGAAACATAATAAATAATGTGAATAAAAATATACTTCTTCTAGTGTTCGTCAACAAAAAATACGAAAGCATAAATAAACAAATAAAAAAAAAGTTAAATTAAATTACCAATTCCTTCTCATCAAAGTAAATTACCAATTCCAACCATATATAGGAGT